TTCTGTCGAGGCGGTCCTGGCGATGGCTCAACACCTAATTCAGGCTTTGGGTGAGGAAGGAGGTTCCAGGAGGCTGCAGCAGCAGAGTGGATTTGGTCGTTCCTCATGGCTGCTTACGTGGCAGCTGAAGACAGTGCCTTTCAGCATCCTCGACAGGATGCGAGCAGGCCTGACCTCCCAAGTACATGGGGCAGCGGTGGCAGGAGTCTGCTCCTTGGGGAGAGCGAGCCCAGCATAGAGGGAACAAGCCTTTAGGGAGCTCACAACGGCAGCAATTGTGGGCCCAGTGGCAAGTGATGGCAGCAGAGCAAGGCACCTTCAATGTTGGTGGGCCTAGTGCAGGACTTGAGGCAGTGGCGGTGGATCAGCTTTCAATAGCAGGGCAGCTTCTGTGGTCAGCGGAGAAGGTAGCATCTGCGGTCTGCGTTGGTTAGCTGTGGCAATGCGGTAGGCCTGAATTGATATTCAATGGTGGATCGACAGAAGTGACAGTTGCTTCGGTGGTGGCGTGGTAGGCCCACCACGGGGACTCCTGGAATGGACTGTGTGGGGAAATTAGGAGGAGATCAAGCCCCTGTAAGACGTGTGGTCCAAGTGTGGCTAAGCACTTTCAAAAGACTACTGTTTGACTTTTAGCTTCATTTCTTTATTTTTGTTTAACTTTTAACTTTGTTCTTTCTTTCTACCTTGTTCTTACGATTCTGTACCTAGGTACTTGTACCTAAGATGGCACCTTGTGAGGCGACATTACAGTTCTCACTGTACTCCAGTACTTTTGTACTTGAGTACACGTGACAATAAAAAATCTAAATCTAAAAAAGAATCTAAATCTAAATCTTCTGCTATCTCGTATGAACAGACTGCTAATGGTGTGACCAGGAACCTCTTGCTTCTCATCCCACCCCCTTTCTCCACAACAACCTTGGCCTTCTGATTTCTTGTTTTCAGAAACTTGAAAACTGCTATTATGAAAACAGGAATTTCTGGAAATATTCAGTAGGTCAGTTGATTCAGATAATCAAATGAATTGATCTGTAACTTTAACTCTGCTGTCTCCACAGATACTGCTTGCGCTGTTGAATATTTTGAGCACTTATTGTTTTCACTTTTAGGCTTCCAGCAAATGAGTATTTTGCCTTTCCATTAGACGTAACAGCACTGCTTGCACATCTACAACAGCCCAAGAACGAAGGCAGAGACAACAGCGCAGCAGTGATGAAGAGGCTCCATTGTATTGTCTGACAAATGTAGCCACCAGCACAGACTCTAGCACTGCACTTACATTGGAGTCTTGTATACAGTTTGGATCAGCACATAGTGAGTCACTGGGTATGAGTGTGCTGAAAGAAGGTGGAGTAAAAATGATTTGCTTCTTAGCTTACCAGAGGGTGAGATGACAGACACATATTGCTGCAGAGGACTCTGATGAGGAGCTTGATGCAATGGCTTACAGGAAAGTGCTGAATGAACATATATACGAAAACGCTGGGTTCATTCATGGCCTGTCAGACAGCTGGGAGGAATCTAGCTCCAACTTAGTAAAGTGGACGCTGCAGAGCACGTTCTGTGCAGATTCTGCTACATCTCCCTGTCATGCTGCAAAGCCAGCAGCATTGTCATGCTTCTCTACATATGCTGCAGCCTTTATGTAGACAGATGACCAGATCCTCCACCCCTCTTGAGGTTTTGGAAATGTCTTCTGCTAAATGGAATAAAACACCTCCAATAACACTGGAAAGTACTTTCAAATATAAAAAGTTCCAACAACTTTACTAACTTGTAATTTTACTAACTTTAAGTATCTCTATTTCAGGCCCATCTGAGTACACAATGCTATTTTTTCCAGAGCAGACAATACAGGTATTGTCAGCACTTATTTGCCCAAATTCAGAATTCTGGTTTCACCTCTGTCAGTTAGACTGAATGTATTGATGCTACCCAGACATAAATGTATTTGGGCATACAGAAGGTTGCATCTCCATGTACTCAAATCAATGAAGAATTTCACACAATTGGTAAAGGTGGTAGCTCATTGCATTGCCTGCCCCTGAGAAATAAGAAAGGCCTGTTACCCGAGTATTCAGTAAAAGCCAGGATGGTCCTCTTTGGGAGAAGTTGATCACTAAAAGGAAGCAGTGAATTGGAGAAGGATAAAAATTCATGCAATAAACATGTATCACACATATGTCTAACCAGAAGCAAAATGGATGAATATATCAAAAATAAAACTGAATAAAATGTGCTCAAAGTAACTGAGTACAAACTTCAAAATTCTGAAATGTGTAGCATCTGAATACATTAAAATTAAATGAGAAACAAATAGTGAAATTAGTGATCCCAATTTTGTAGTCAAAGGTGCATGAATGGCATTCGCTGCAGCTATCCAGAATTTTCATGGGCTTTTAGTGGCAACTGATTGTCATGTCCAGTGCACTCCAAGAGAAAAAGAAATCTGCATAAATAGTGCAAGCGATATTGTCTCAAAGAATACTCACCAAGAGATACAGATTGGAATTCAGTGCCCTCCCCGAGGTGAATTTGTGATGGGTGGATACCAGACAGGAACCCCGCCACCTTCCTATCACCGTTTTAACTAAGTTGGGGGAACGAAGGGGCATGGATGACCCTCCTGATCTGACTAATTGAGGCCCTTAAGGTAATTACTGCCTTGTTCTTCCACTGCTGGTATGCAGCCAGTGGCAGGCAAAACAGACACTACTTTGGGAAGCCCAAAACGCTAATGTTGATTCCAGGGTGCTGGCATTACGAGTGACCTGACAAGGGCCACCCACATCCCTTGATGCTGACCCCACTACTGCTTTTACTCTGGGCCCTTCAGTAATCTTAGGCCTCTCCAAGGGTGCTCTGCCAGTAGCTGCCACTTGTCCACTGCCTGCATTAGGACTGAACAGCAGAGGCCAGCAACTCATATAGGGAGGCTTTTGCTCTCTCTAAGGTCCTTACACTTGGGGAAGTGCCTGTTTGGCACAGTTTGGCAGGCCTTCCTCACAGGAGGCAAAAATACAGAGCTGTCTCCAGTTCTCTAGCCAATGTGTAAATACCTTGCACAGAGTATAAACCAGGAAGTTTAAGTTAGAATGTTTAACTTGATGTAAAATCAAATATTGTATGGAAAATTTAAAAGGCTGGAAATCAAGATGGCATTTGGAGAGAGACAAAAGAAACAAAGAACAATTTTACTAAATTTTATTTTAATTTTACTATTCTAAATATCTCCACCAATAATTCAAATCTGAAAGAATGAGACTTTACATTTATAAAAGTTAATCTTCAATGCCAAAAGTTGGTTGATGGCACTTTCTTTTTAGGAAGATGTTCTTGGGATGTGAACTTGGCATGTAAGATCAACATTTCCTGTCATCCCAAACTGCCCTCGAGCAGGCCTTCACAAGCCATCTATAACTGAGTGACTTATTGGCTCATTTCAGAGGACAGTTAAGAGCCAACCAAATTTGTGTGGGTCTGGATCCATATTTCATCTAGACTGGGTATGTGAAAATGCCCCTTGTGGGACATTTGTGGACCAGATGGATTTTTTGAGAGTTTCATTATCATTATGTTTGGACCAGTTTCTCATTATGATTAATTAAATGAGTTTAAATTCCTCCTGTGTTGTGATGGAATTTGAACTCATGCCTCTAGTGTATTATTGTAAGCTGCTGGATTACCAGTCCAGTAATATTACACTATTCTACTTTGTTATGTATGTAGTTGGGGGGACTGCTGTCCCTTTAAGAGAGCTGGTCAGGTGGGATTTTGGGTCAGTCTAGAACAATTTACAGAGTTGTGAGCGTCGTCGATAAAGTGTTGCATCCAGATTTACCATTTGTCTACCTTGTGTATAATTCCTAGTTCCAAAGGAAGAACCAACATAACTGTCACTCAATTGTTTATATGAACGAACCTTTCTAGCATGTCACAGTCACTAGCAGGTAAGTACTGCGACCTCATGCCCTTAAATGGATATCAATGCTATCCCTTGGTGGTATACGCTTGGAGTGAAGCTTGTGGAAGATAGAGCAAATTAGAGAGCATCTTGCAGATTTCCGTGTTTATCTGCACGTGTGAATGTTATTGGCTGATTGATTGTATTGCTATTGCACAGTCTGGTTGCTATTTGTGCAACTGAAATTTTGAATAATACTTGGCAGAATAATGATTACCATCAATTCAAGACATAGATAGAGATCGCAGAATCATAGAAAGGCTGTAGCACAATTGAATGCACTTGGCCTGTCATATTCATGCTGGTTCATTGTAAGACCAATTTAGCTAGTTGCAGTTCTCACCCTTTTCCCAGAACCCTATGAGATTTTTGTTTTGTCTTCAATTATTTATCCCTGGAACCATTCCCATAAATCACTTCTGAGACCTATCTAAAGCCATTTCATCCTTCCTAAAGTGTAGTACCCAGAATTGTCACAATACTCCAGTTGAGGCCAAGTCTGTGTTTTTAAAAAGGTTTATCATAATTTTCTTGCTTCTGTCTGTTCTCACTCTACTTATAAAGCCCTGTAATCAGATGTCTTTTTAACTACTTTCTCAACCATAGCCCACCACATTCAGTATGCACATATATCCCCAGGGTTCTCTGTTTCTGCACCCTTTTTGAAATTGTACTCTTTACATCATGCTTGTATCATATTTAGCACCAAAACATCGCCTTGATGTCTGTTACCATTGTCCCCTCAGTTAATAATACTTGCAAGTTTTGTGTCATCTGCAATTTTAAAATTGTACCCAGTACACCAATGTTTAGGTTGTTGATGTATATAAAGGCAGTGCTCCTGGTGTCGAATGCCACTCCCCTACCCCCACCATACAATCTCTCCCAATCTATTTTCTGAACAACTAATAATGACTGCTTGAAAAGCAAAACCTTTTTCAGTGCTTAGTTGAAGTTACATATTAAAAAAGAGTTTTTCTGGAAAACTTCAAAAATGAGTTTGTTTTTCACATATCTTATTATTTTTGTAAAGGGATTATGCCACAGCACTGCTAAAACGTGATGTAATGGGAGCCTTCTTATTGTGGGTGAATCCTGGCCCCCTACAGTGTTGGACACTAATAATGCGGACCCCATTTGGCGTGATAAATTACCTTATCTGTAAAAATGATGAAGGCAACTATTACTTGCAGGTATGATTATAAAATCTTTTAAAGTTATGAAATGATCTTTTTTCCATAGTAGCTTATAACATATTATAATATGTATGTATTCTTTTCCAGCAATTGAACACACTAACATTTCCCAGCATAAAAGCCTTGATAGAACATTACACAGCAAATGAAGATGGTCTCTTTTGTTGCCTAAGTGTTTCAAGGGTAAATCACTGCTATGAAGAACATGATTCTACTGAAAACTATTGTTTGCACCCAGTCCAAAGCAAACCAGAGGACAGACAGATTGCTTCGGATTAATGATGTTGAATTTCCAAAAACTGATAAGGTTGCTTTTTGCAGGTCATATCCAGAAGCTGGCTGCCTGTTATGATGTGCAGAGTGGTTGAGGAAAATTTAATCTAATAAATTTGAATCCACCACAGATATTGTCTCATGTTCAGTAACATCAGACACTGCTGCAGCGGTCCCAGACTTTACTGTTATGGGGATTGATCTCAATAGCATGTGGGAAGTTTAATAATAACGCTGTCCTGTGATTCAAACAGGATACTTATATATACCGCATGTGTGTCCCTTTAGTCCCTTCTGTGGCAGACCATGCTAGCACTTAATGAGTTGAAGTTTGATACAAATCATTCAATTGCTTTACTTCATAGCAAATGCACAGACAGTTATGATCAGGTTAGAAAAGTTCAATTAATACCACCCATTATGGCATAAAGATACAAAATAGAAACACACTTCACCATCAGTGACGTGTTTTTAATTAATGTAGGAAAGAGGGTTTATCCTCCAATATTTTTAACCTCATTGCTTTTCAGTTTCAAAAAAGCGCATCTTTGTGTGCTTGTTTCTCCTGGTTTAGAAGAGCTTGATGGTAAAAGAACTTTCAAACACAGGCTTTGGTATCCTTCGCTCACCCAGATGGGCAACCAAATTTCTAATCTCTGTTTAGCATCTGGATCTAGTGCCTCTTAAATAATTGATGAGAATGTGCATTGTTCTTACAAACAGTATGAAAAATAAATAAAGCACTTCCTGTGGAAATATTGTCCAAAGTACTAAAATGTAATACCAATCTGTGCAAGAATAATGGTTAACTTAAAGCTTGAAGCCAAGTAAGGGATATTTATAAGCAAATTAGCTGATGAAAATGTTTTGAGGAATGATCAATTGCAAGATCTAAATGATCCTAGATTTTTCTTTTCAGCTGCTGTTCTGCAAAAATACATTTTAGACTTTTGCTGACTTCAGTGAGATGCTACTAGGAGAGAGGAGGTGAGACTTAGAACTGCCCATAGCTTTATCCAATTTCTTTCTGTGCCTGTGAGAATGTGCAAACTTCAGAAGTTGCTGAAATGTAATCAAATATAATACTTGTTTACTACTTGCTTTGCTAGACTGCAGTTTAATAATACGGTTGCTCATAAACAAGTCTATTACTTTGGATTTATTTTTCATCTGTTGGAATTAAGGAAAAGCTAGATTTTAAAAACTAGAATTTTAAAAACTAGATTTTGTTTACATTTAGAATTCTTGGTCCTCAAGGTCCTGAACTGTGTCATCAAAAATAAAAATTTTAAATGAAATTGGAAAGAACGAAAACAAAAAATAAGTACTAAAAAAGCCTGTGCTTAGGCTAAAAAAAGAGATCCAACATGCTGTGCCTTTAATTAGTAGATTTCTCTAGGTTTTGGAGTACATTCTAGTGGGTCCAGACATTCTCGTGGCAGAAGGACCAAGGTAAAAATCAGGTAGTTACAGACACATAAGTGAATATGGGGAATACATCTCATCATCTACCCAACAGACTATTGGGGGAGTTTATTTTTCTTTTGTACACTGTAACTGTTCTAATATTGCACTGTATTAAGAATTACTTGTGCTTAAGTAAAATGATCGTAGTGCTATGAACAAGGAGTCAGCTTGACATGTTGAACAATCAGTCCAAAGAGACTTTAAATTTATTGCAGCTGATCAGCTTTAACAACTATAGGCACTTAGACCAAGTATCAGAGTTAGCCTCAAGAAAATATACAAGAGTGGAAATTGAAAATGTACTGATCCTACCTTTAAAGCAGAGATACTGTTTTGCACCTTGATGCAGATTATGGCACCAACCGCGATCTCTTTTGCTTCAGTCTGCGTGCAACAAATTCTAATTAATTGCTGTATTAGAAGTGTCCTTTTTGATTTAATAAGATTATCATGAAATCATAAAGTATTGCAGTGAGAATCGCAAATGGTTTGAAGCTGACTTAAGTCGTTAGATAATCTTAGCAAGTTTGCCTTTCTTTTAATAAAGCTATGATGCTAAAATAAGGTCAAGAAACAGCGATACTAAAGAATTTGTTTATGTTCTGCACATTGGTATTATGTATGGTTCCTAAATAGAATACAAATATTGAATACAAAATAAGTACAAACTTGTTCCAGTTATGTTTTTTATTAAGATGTGGTCTTAATGATACAGGGTCTTTGCGACTAATTCATTCTCACTGTTCTTCACTGTCCTTATGATCTCTGAAAAAACAAAACAAATCTGTTCTATTTAAATCTCTATATTGTGCTTTTTGACTTTGAATGTACAATCTTGTGTTAAAGATGTGTATTTTTTATTTTTTAGGTTGTTTACATTATAATAGCATTCATTGCAGAAATTCCATAATAAAGAGCATGTGAACTTCCAGCAGCTAGTCTTTTTCTGGACATGAGTGAAGAAAATATTAAGATTGCTGCACAAGTCAAATCTCCTGTGGTATCAGTAAACCAAGCAAACCAACTACTGTTGAGACAGTAGCAATAAGACTAGCTGCCAGTGAATCTGGTGATACTATAATAATTTGATAAGTTCTGATTTCCTTCATTGGCACCTTCCACCCTTCAGCACCCAGCCCCAGAATGGGGGGGGCTGCCTATTTCCAAGATCTCTGACAGGTGTCCATGACATTGTGCACTCAGTGAATAGGTGAACATCTATTCCTTCACTTGGTGGTGCTGTATAGATATCTGTATTAAATTCTAGGTCTACCAAAGGATATTGAGTAGCATTATCTTTGGCAACTAAATTTTTAAACTTGTGCAAATTCCAGTTTCAAGATTAAAATTCTCACCACATACATTTGGATTGAGTGGGATATTGGCTTAAAATAGAACAGCCCACCCAAACTGTGATTTAAAAAATGAGACTTAAAGCAAACTGCAGGACTAATTATGCTGTTTTATTTACAAGCTGCTGAAACCATTGAATCTTAATTCACATTTTGAAAAAATCTTAGCAGAATGCTTAAATAAAAATTACTTGGTAAGATCACAGATAAATGCATTAAACATTTGCATTCTCAAGTTCTTCTTGTTTAATTTGTCTGACTATGTGGGCATGCAGTTGGGTTTACAATCTCTACCTATGTGTGATAGCCATGCCCATGCTATCATTACAGTTTCAGATGATTTGATGCTCTTCTAACAAACTTGGTCTACACGAGGCAGACTGAACTGCAGTGCTGATCAGAACCGGATGAATGTGTGGCATAGTGGACCCCTACTGGTCCTATTTAATGAGTTAAGACACCAACTTCCAGGTGAAGTGCTTTTGACTTCTACTTAGACAAATTTAGTGGAAATTCAGTGGTGTACATTCTGAGGTATTTTAAAGAGCAGTCCTACCTGGAATTAGTGACTGTTGGGGCCTGTGGTTGCATTGCCATGGGTCTGCAACATGTTCAGCAAATGCATCAAAGGGTGCAGAGGAGGGGGGAAAAGGGCTCTTCACAGATGATGCTATCCACCAAGAGATTTTCAAGAGCACTTTACCTAGCTAAGCCTGCTCAGATTGGACAAAGAGGTGTCACATAACTCTACCACCTCATTCAATCTAATTTGGAGTCTTGAAGCAGGGAGAGGTCAGCAATGCTAGTGGCCTTTAGGTCACAGTTGTCTCCGGATCTTTCCCAGCAGAAATCACTAACATCTCAAACTCCTGTAAGTACATCATCCATCTTGGCCATAATTTTTCAGGAAGGATGAGTGGTTTAAGAAAATGGTTTAAGAACTGCAACTCACCTGCAGTAAATAAAACAATGTGAGAAAAGGGGAAACAAAACTCCCAGATGACTGTCCCCAAAGCAAATCCTCCCTCCCCCACAATACCGTGCCTCAGATATGAAAAAATACATTTTGAAAGAAAACAGCGCACGCGCACACACACGCAAACTGAATGAAACCCCCCGCTTTATCCTCCTCATCAAGGAGACGCAGGAAAAAAGGGTAGATGGCTGTACCAGTATTACTGATGGTGCAGAGTGCTGTAGCCTTCATGTACAAAGCTCTGAGTGCCTCATTGTCAACGGGGAGAGGCACAGCAACAACTCATAGAATCCCTACAGTGTGGAAACAGGCCCTTCAGCCCAACAAGTCCACACCGACCCTTGGAGGGTCCCACCCAGATCCATCCCCCTATAACCCACGCACCCCTGAACGCTACAGGCGATTTAGCATGGCCAATCCAACTAGCCTGCACATCTTTGGACTGTGGGAGGAAAGCAGAGCACCCGAAGGAAATCCACGCAGACACGGGGAGAGGAGAATGTGCAAACTCCGCACAGTCGCCCGAGGCTGGAACCGAACCCGGGTCTCTGGCGCTGTGAGGCAGTACTGCTAACTACTGTGCTGCCCCCATGTTTTAGTTACTATTCTGATAACAGCTATTCTGAGCAGTTAGCTATTCCAGCATCTTTGGGCTTTGATGGAGCCTGGCTGCTTGAAGACTAAGATAACCCCATATATGTGATTGATGATCCACCTGTTCCACCACAATGACAAGGAGCCAAACAGTAATGAAATTTTACAGGACAGGCAATGGCTATGCTTAAGCAATGCTTGTAATGCCTGGACTGGGATTTGGGTTGGGAGTCCTTACGTACATGTAGGAGGATGGTGTTCAGGTGTTCTGCTGTATATTGCACAGCATAGCCATAACGAGAGTGCAACAATTGCCTGCAGGAATCCAGAAGCTCAATTTGAGGGAAGGAGGAAGAAGAAGAGCAGGGAGGATGCATTCTCGGCTCTTTGCTCCAGGTTTTCTGTGATGATCAATTTTACAGTGAAATAACTTCCCTTAGCGTCCTTGGATCCACCATTCCCTGCCATTACATTCATATTAGATGTCCCATCATATGTTCCCTTGGCACTACATTAAATAATAAAGGGCACGCTCAAAAATCTTTTCATTAACGAACTGTTTTGGGATGCCTTGTCTTGATATTCCTAGGCAGTGATATATCAGTGGCTGCAGAATGGCTGATGGAAGAGCTGAGCCACTGGACTGCATGGTCAATTGTTAAAAGCCTTAACAGTGAGGACATGCCCAGTGGCTGAGACATTGTATAAGCTACTCACGTTTTGTTCTGATCTGTGAACAGATTTAGAATGTAAAGCTAAAACTCCCTTAATCTATCTATAAAAGTAGAGCGTCACCGAACACTGATCGATGCTCCCAATTGCTCTGTCTCCAGAGCAACGGTTGGCAAGCACCAAATGCGGAAGTGACGTACGGTCTGCCGGAAACTGGTATCGTCGGTGGAGCCGCTTGTTGCCGAGCAACCGACGCTTGGCTGCTGGATCCCAGTTCCAGGAATGGTGAAGGACCGCTGGGATGGGGAACCTATAAAGGGGGAACGCCGTTGATAAAGAAACTAAACACTGCATTAGGCTGGAGAGAGGAGGACGATGGCTTTGGAGACAGTGCGAGTTGTGGTACGCTGCAGACCCAGCAACAGCCGAGAAAAGGACCTGAACTGTAAGGTGGTAGTGTCTATGGACTCTGCCCGCGGCCAGTGCTTCATCCAGAAACCCGGGATCCTCGGAGAGCCACCCAAACAGTTCACTTTCGACGGTGTCTATTACATGGAGAGTACCACGGAGCAACTGTACAACGAGATCGCCTATCCACTGGTGGAGGTAAAGCAGACAACAAGAGATAAGAACAGGACGTGGGAAAGGAGGGGAGGTCGCATCACAGAACCGCGAAGGGCAGCAATTTACACACAGCTTGGTCCACCCACACGCTTAACAGTGAAGAACAAGCCAGTGACCCTGTTGCTGGATCAATATCCTGAAGCTCCAAACAGCACAGGAGTGTAACTACACCCCAACGTCTACAGTTGTACAAGTAGGCAGCCTTCCTCCCCTTCCATCATCGTCATTATCAGGATGGGCCCTAAATACAAAGCCAAAGTAAATTGAGCCAATGCCTGATGTGGGGGAGGGGTCGCACTGCAACAAAAATCAAAGGCATTAAAAATTTTAAATTAATATAATCAAAATTCAAATGTTATTTTGGTCATTGACAATATACTCCAGTCCCTGCATTGCCCATCTGCCATAGAAGGCCTCAAGCATGCCAGCGGACCCTGCATGCTCCCACTCCAACGATACACAGGCACTGACATAAACACCCAAGTCCCATGAACCAATAAAACAAATTAATGGACCAACTTAAGGAAGTGCAAGCAGAAAGAGAATGGATAACCATGCGACAGATAGGCAGATAAAAAGGGAATCCCATACATATCACTCGCGAAACAGTTTTTGCCCTTGGAAAGCAGTGAGAGTGACCGTTTTCAGCCAGTATGTAGGCAGGAGGAAGGTCTATCAGTAGGGGAGCATTTTGGAGATAGTGACTGTTATGGACATGGATAATGATGATTTGGGAATAAAATTTCTAAATTTGGGAGAGGTTAATTTTAGTAAGGTAAGATACGATTTCATCTGAGTGAACTGAGTGCAGGTACATACAGTAAAACTGTCTTGAGAGCAGTGGAGGCATTCAAGGAGGAAATATAGAGAGTGCAGGGCAAATATATCCCCATAAAGACAAATAGTGGCAGTAAGAACAGAGAACCTAGATATCAGGAGTGTGATAATACTATGGTTTAAGAGGTGTATTTCATTTTGTTTTTGAAGTGAGGTTTTGAGCTAAATGTGACGAGCCATCTCTTCCAGCTAACAAAATAAACAGCTTATAAGGCCTTGACTTTTTTTTAAAAGTTGGAACAATAGAAGAAGCATGAATTGGTGGAGTCAGGTCTCACAGACCAAGCATTTTAGTTTAGTTTTCAGCAGTTTCTGGGATCTTGAAACTGTTGTTCCTTTCTCTGTTACAGCTAAAAGCTACCAGAATTGCATGTGAGACAATCTATTTTACTGATTTTGCCTTTGCCAATGGTGCACTTATGGGATGCTCCGATATTCAAACAGCTGTTGTTTAGTAATTAAATAATCTATTATTCTGTTAAGTTTTCCATTACAGCTAAAACTCTTCTTTGTTTTGTTTGTATTCTAACTATAGGGTAAGAATAAAGTGTGTTTTGCTTCAAGCCAAGTAGTGTAACCAATTGAATTAGATATGGAACATAGCACCTTACACTTGCCTTTAAATAACCTAGAAGCTAGCTTTTATCTTATCTCCTTGTTATATTTGAAGGGGGTTTGGCCTGGTCCACAATAAATGACATATAAATTAGGATTAAGAAACGTTTATGGCAAATACCAAGGGCTCAATGTGGTGGAGTCTCAGAGGAGTATAAAATGTGCAGTGGGGAAATTATAAAGGAAATTAGGGAAGCTAAAAGAGCGCCTGAGAAGGTGAAATAAAGGAAAAGCCAAACTGTATGAAGAGCAAAAGAAAAACTAGGGAAAATGTAGGGACCATTAGGGACCAGAGAGGTAATCTCTGGTGGACCCAGAAAACATGAGTACTGTTCTCAATGGGTATTTTGTGTCAGTCTTCAATGGAAAAGGATGATGCAGGTATAGACATCAGGGTGGAGGATTGTGAAATATTAGAGGAAATTAACATAGACAGGAGGTACCAATGGGTATACCAGTCTTAAAAGTGAATAAATCCACAGGCCCAGTTGAGACATATCCCAAGATGTTGAGGGAACAGGGGAGAGGATATCAAGGGCCCTGGCTGAAATTTCCAAATCCTCTCTGACCACAGGTGCCAAACACCTGAAGGACTGCTAACATTGTCCCAAAATTAAAAAGGGAGGAAGAGCTAGACCAGAAAATTACAGGCCAGGAAGTTTAACATTAGTGGTGGAGTAGATATTGGAAAGAAGTCTGATGGACAGAATATGTCTGTACTTGAACAGGCATGAACTAATCAGAGATAGTCAATATTGATTTGTTATGGGCCATGTTTGCTCAATTTCTTTGATAACATAACCAGGAGTGTCGATGTGGGTAATGTATTTGATGTGATCTATCAGAGTCTTGATAAGGTCTTTCATGGCAGACTGGTCAAGAAATTAGAGCCCATGAGATCCACGGCAAGGTGGCATGTTGAATCCAAAATTGGCAGAGGGTCAGGAAGACGGTAATGGTAAGGGAATGCTTCTGACACTCAAGCCTGTTTCCTGTGTTCCACAGGACTCTCTGCTGGGACAATTACTCTTTGTGATTGGACATCATTTTGACTTAAATTTAGGAGGTATGATCAAGAAGTTTGTGGAGTACACAAAAGATGACAGTATGGTAAATAGTAAAGAAGACCAGCATAAATTGCAGAAGGATATCAACGAACTGGTCAGGTGGACAAAGCATGGGCAAATTGAATTCAACCTGGAAAATTGTGAAGTAATGCACTTGGGGAGGTCTGACAAGGTAAGGAATTATGCTATGAATGGTAGGAACTGGGAAAATACTGAAGATCAGGGGAATCTTGGTGTGCGCATCCACAGATTGCTGAAGGTAGCAGGGCAGGTAGATTAGTTGGATAAGAATGCATATGGAATAATCGTCTTCATTAGCCAAGGAATAGAATTAAAGAGCAGAGAGGTTATGCTGGAACTGTATAAAATGTTAGGGCATAGCTGGAGTACTTCAGTTCTGGAAGGATGCAATTGCATTAGAGAGGGTGCAGAGGAAATTTACTAGGATTCTGCCTGATTTAGATGATCAGGGTTGTGGAAGATTGGATAGGCTGGTATTGTTTTCCTTGAAGGAGTAAAGGTTGGGAGGGGTCTTGATAGAGGTATGTAAAATCGAGGGGCATAAATAGGGTAGCTAGGAAGACACCTTTTTTCCCCTAGTAAAAGGGTTAATAGCCAGAGGACATAGATTTAAGGTAATGGGTAGAAGGCTAAGAGGGGAGGTGAGGGGAATTTTCCTTACCCAGAAGGTGGTGGAAGTCTGGAACGTATTGGCTGAAAGTGTGGCTGAGTCAGAAAATAATAAAAATTAAGCAATATTCACATATTGTGTTGACATTGTCTTCAGAACTGTGAGCCAAGAGCTGGAAAATGGAATTAGTGTGGTCAGAGCTTTGTTGACCCACATGGACATAATTGGCCGAATGGTCTCCTTTTGTGCTGTAAATGTCTGATTCTATAAGAGGTATCACCTGACAAGACCCAATGCCACAAATGCCCCTGTCACGTAACTACTTATATTATTTTAAAATGTTAATGAATCTATGATACTCAAAATAGCAAATGCCACCTTTGTCAATTAAATTGGTACGTTGTTATTCGTATCTAAAATACATTGTACAACTACAGATCCTATTGGTTTCAGGAAAAAACAGCTACCTCCTCCCTAAGTTATTCCTGGTTTGCTGTATGTAATTTTCTGTGGGCACTGGTTGCCATCTGGTACATCTAATCAAGAATAAGGAGGAGTCATATATTAGGTATAGACAACTGAGATCAAGTGAATCTGTTGAAGAGTATAAGGGGTGTAGGGTCACTCTTAAGCGGGAAATCAGGAGGGCAAAAAGGGGAAATGAAATACCTTGGCAGATAAGGTTAAGGATAATCCAAAGAGATTCTACAAGTACATTAAGAACAAAAGAGTAACTACAGCGAGAATAGGGCCCCTTAAAGATCACCAAGGTGGTCTATGTGTGGCACTACAGGAGATGGGAGAGGTACTAAACAAATATTTCGCATCAGTTTTTACATGGAGAAAGAAATGAAGGCTAGGGAACTCGGGGAAAATAAATATCAGTGTCTTGAAAACAGTCCACATTACAGAATAGGAAGTGCTGGAGGTGTTAAAAAAAAATAAAGATGGATAAATCTCTGGGACCTGATCAACTGTATCCCAGGACATTGTGGGAAGTTAGGGAAGAAATTGTGGGCCCCAGCAGAAATATTGTATCTACTACAGCCGCGGGTAAGGTGCCAGAGGACTGGAGAGTGGCTAATGGTATGACTTAATTTAAGGAAGGCTGTAAGGAGAAGCCTGGAAATTATAGACCTGAGAGACTGACATTAGTGGTGGGTGCGTTGTTGGAGGGGATTCTGAGAGATAGGGTTTACATGCATTTGGAGAGGCAAGGGCCAATTAGGGATAGTCAGCACGACTTAAAGAGTGGGAAATCGTGTCTCACAAACTTGATTGAGTTTTATGAGGACATAACCAAAAAGATTGATGAGGGCAGAGTGGTAGACGTTGTCTACATGGACTTTAGTAAAGCCTTTGACAAAATTCCGCATGGTAGACTAATTAGTAGAGTTAGATTACATGGGATTCAGGGAGAGCTTGCCAACTGAATACAAAATTGGCTTGACGGTAGGAAACAGAGAGTAATGGTGGAGTGTTGCTTTTTTGGATTTGAGACCTGTGACCAGCGGTGTTCTTCAAGGATTGGTGCTGGGTCCACTTTTGTTTGTCATTTATACAAATGATTTAGATGACAATTTAGGAGGCATGGGTTAGTAAGTTTGTGGATGACACCAAAATTGGTGGTATAGTCGACAGTAAAGAAGGTTATCTAAGATTACAAAGGGATCTTGATCATTTGGGCCAATGGGCTGAGAAGTGGCAGATGGAGTTTAATTTGGATAAATGCGAGGTATTGCATTTTGGTAAAGCAAACAAGGGCAGGGCTTATACAGTTAACAGTAGGGCCCTGGGTAGTGTTGTCGAACAGAGAGACCTAGAGGTTCAGGTACTTGGTTATTTGAAAGTTGCATCACACGTAGACAGGGTGGTTAAGAAGGCATTTAGCATGCTTGCCTTCATTGCTCAGACCATTGAGTATAGGAGTTAGGACATCATGCTGAGGCTGTACAGGACATTGGTGAGGCCTCTTTTGGAGTGCTGTGTCTAGTTCTGGTTGCCGTGCTATAAGAAGGATATTACTAAGCTGGAGAGGGTTCAGAAGAGATTTACCAGGATGTTGCTGGGACTGGACGGTTTGAGTTTTAAGGATAAGCTGGATGGGCTGAGACATTTTTCACTGGAACATAGGAGGTTGAGGGGTGATCTTATTAAAGTTTATAAAATCATGGGCACCGATAAGGTGAATAGCAAAGGTCTTTTCTGTAGAGTGAGGGACTTCAAAACTAGGGGACATATTTTTAAGGTGAGAGGAGAAGGATTTAAAAGGGACCTGAGGGACAGATTTTCATTCAGAGGGTGGTTCGTATGTGGAATGAACTACCAGTGGAAGTGGTAGATGCAGGTACAGTTACAACATTTAAAAGACATTTGGACAGGTACATGAATAAGAAAGGTTTAGAGGGATATGGACCAAACCAGGCAAGTGGGACTAGTTTAGTTTTGGAAACTTGGTTGACATGGGCGAGTTGGACCAAAGGGTATGTGTGACTCAGTATGGCTTGACAACGAATGTTGACAACTATTTGGACCTACTTTGGACCTGAAAGGTGTCATTGGCTAGTGACCAAGTAAAAGATCTTTAGATTATGTTTGCTCCTGAATACTGAGCACACCCTTGAAAACATGGCAATTTGTAATTCCACATCTCATGTTGGAGGGGATGTTTAGTGTCGCTCTGGTTGCTTGCTTATTTTTTTGCAAACAATGTCATACAGAATGAATGTAATCTACTGCAATGAATTCAATTAATATGTAAATATTTTACTTTATGAAGCCAGCCAACTCCTTCTGTAAACATAATTGCATTTCATGATTATTAACAATTTCCTTAAAAGTTATACTATTTAGGACTTCCCATATTTGTAGAAATATCATAACAGGATTCCAAAAGGTCTGAGGACTAGAAGTCATACTAATACAAACTATTGAAAATGTATTAAATATTTTCACAACTTACAGACACATGATTCAGTAGGATTACATTAGAACCTTCTTCCATTAAATTTCAGTTCCATGTGATCTTATGGTGCTGATAATGCACTCTAGCTACTGGCATAACAGCAATGAATCCATTATACTACATTTCCCCACCAAGTCTTTCCTTCTGCTCTTTCACTATTTACATTTTTATCCAATTGTTCCTCACACCATCCAAGTCTTTTTGCAAATCTTCGTGTTCTTGGCTCATTTTGAGAAAGTGACAGATGTGTACTCCATTATTTTCTCCTTGGAACTAATACAATGCCAGTGTCTGGATGTGACACTGATGACAACTTGAAGGCAAATGCAGTGAAGACTGATCAAAGAAGAACTGATTCAAAAGACAAAACTTTAGGACCTGAACCATGAAATACCCGTAAGGATGAAACAACAAACTGAAATGTTCTTCTTCTGCTTTGTACACCCGGAAAAGGCTGAAGCACCATTTCAAAAGAATGAAGCACATCTAGCTCCCATGAAGAATATCTGAAACAAATCATGTCAATGAAAGGAAGAGTGAAAACTGTTTTGAAGGCTATTCCCAAGACGAAGAAATGATGATTTCCTTAATACACATAGGATAGAGAATGATACTACTCTAAACCTTGATGCTGCTTCGTTTTGGTCAATGATATCTTGGAAACTAGCAGAAATTAGGATTTCACCAGTGTGAACAACAGAATAAACTTTAAGTTTTGAGGAAATTAGATATTTTTCCTACACAGGATTGGGATCTAGATGATCTTCCTTTGTAGTAGTAATCTGGATATTATTTATGTAGAAGCTCAGTAGCCATTTGGTACACTGTTGGTTAACGTTGAAGCTCAGGGAATTGAAGGCAAGTTATTGATCTGATTGGGAAATTGGCTGACTGGCAGGAGCTAAATAGTAGGCTCAATAAGATGGAACAAATGGCAGGATGTGACTAGTGGTATCTTAGGACAGGGGAGGAGAAAGATTGACAGAGAAGGCGGGGAGAAGTCAGCAATCCGGAAGAATCTCTAGTCAAACATTGTGTTTAAGAGTGCTGAAACTCATAGAGGAATTATTTATATTTAATTGCCCCATTATCTTTTTACTTATTGGCAGCTAGACAAAAAGATTTTTCTTGACTTAATTTACCTCTATTCCAGTAACATAAAACACTGGTGAAAATAAATGTTTTGTGTCTAACAGTCTAGCATGTGTTTAAATCTACATTCAGCAATATGTGAAAAGGTCACCACATTTTTCAGAAAACCATCACAAAAGCACTTCCTAGGATTTTATCACTTCTCAAATTATTTATCCACTTTTTAAGCAACGGGTATAGAATAGCACTTCAGAATAGCACTTATTTTTAAAGTACTTTGAGAAGTCTGGTGGTTGTGAAAGTTGCACTATAAATGCAAGTTTTTTTCTTTGTTTTCATGCCTATCCATAATTTAAAGAAAATGTTCTCTGCCTTATCTTTAGCAACAACATGACAGACCTGCCAGTTCGTTGCTAGTTAGAAAAAGAGAAATTTGCTTCCAATAGTCTTAAATTCCTAGGTGTCTTCAACTCATCCTTGGCAAAACTGAAATATCGTATTTTACTCCCAGCAGAAACTCTAAACAATACCTTTAATTCCATTCCTACCTAGCTGCTCATTCAACTTATTTTTTAATTGACATTTTTAACATAGCAATAATCATCCCATGATATCAGAAAGATACTTTCATTAGAGAGACATTAAAGGAGAGGAAAGAAGTGGATTTTAAGAAAGCAAGGAAGGGAATTGAAAGACAATATTTTTTAAATAAAGTTTAGAATTTTTTGGGGATATGCTGTATAACGCTAAATTTAAAAAGTCTTTGTTTCCATATCACATTTGATCAAGACACCGTTTTATGCCTTCATATTTACAATTTTCAATTGTGAGTAATTCCATTCTTTTCTAGGGTGTTACTGAAGGCTACAATGGAACAATATTTGCCTATGGACAGACAGGAAGCGGGAAGTCATTCACCATGCAAGGCATTTCTCATCCAACATCACAACGAGGAGTTATTCCCAGGGCTTTTGAACATATATTTGAGAGTATCCAGGTAGTTAAGCTAAGCTAAGTGTTTGTAAATTTGGATTCTTGTGGTTAATTATTGAATTGTTGTGGTGTTGTATGTTGTAAAAGAGTCTGTGGTGTAATGCAATTTGTCACGCATTCTCATTTTTCCAGTAATACCCCTAGTTTTGTAGAGTTTATCTTATGTCCCAGTGTTTTAAAGGTGAATAAAATGAATTCCGTTCAACTTTAATATTAAAATGTTTAGTGATGTACATATGCTTAAAGAGAATAAGTAATGGCATAGTCAGATGGACTTCAATGATTCACGAATGAGGCATGACACAGGTGTGCATTTGGGATTCACCATAGTGGACTTCACTCTGTTATCCTCTCATTAATATCCAGTAATGAGGCAACTCTCCATAAAAAAGGAAGTAAAACTAGATGGCAAATAACTGATGCCGGTCCTGGAAGTTAAATTAAGGCAGGATTAGGAGTTGCTGCTTGCTTTTGTACTTTTGTGAGAGAGAGAGTTCAGGACAATGATCTCAAAAAGTACATTTTATGCTACTAGTTATAGTTAGAGTCAGAGTTGTAGAGCACAGAAACAGACCCTTCGGTCCAACTTGTCCATGCCTACCAGATATTCTACATTAATGTAAACCCATTTGCCAGCATTTGGTCGATTTCCATCTTAAACCTTTCCTATTCGTGTACACATCCAGATGCCTTTTAAATATTGTAATTGTACCAGGCTCCAACACCACCTCTGCAGGTCATTCCATATGCGCATCACCCTCTGCATGAAAATGTTGCCCCTCAGGTCCCTTTTAAATCTTTCCCCTCTCAACTTAAACCTATGCCCTCTACCTTTCGACTCCCCTACCCTGAGGAAAAGACTTTGACTATTCACCCTATCCATGCCCCTCATGATTTTATAAACTTCTATAGGGTAAACCCTCATCCTCCAACGCTCCAAGGAAAATAACAGCCAATTCAGCCTCTCTCTATAGCTCAAACCCTCCAAACCCTGGCAACATCCTCCTAAATCTTTCCTGAACCTTTTCAAGTTTAATAACATTTTTCCTATAGCAGGGAGACCAGAACTGAATGCAGTATTCCAAAAGTGGCCTAACCAATGTCCTGCACAGCCGCAACATGACATCTCAACTCCTATACTCAATGTACTGATCAATAAAGTCAAGCATTCCAAATGCCTTTTTCACTAACCTGTCTACCTGCGACTTCACTTTCAAGGAACTATGAACCTGCACCCCAAGGTCTCTTCATCTGGCAACATTCCCCAGGACCTTACCATTAGTACAGTTATTTTCTTTTTTTTATCTTCCTCCTTATACAGTATCAACATTCTTAGCTATTCGTAAATGAAATAAGGTTTCCTCCCACAGTCCAAAGATGTGTGGGTTAGGTGGATTGGCCATGGGAAATGTGGGGTTACAGGGATAGGGTAGGGGGGTGAGTCTGGGTGGGATGCTGATAGGGAGAGTCATTGTGGACCTGTTAGGCCGAGTGGCCTTTTTCCGCACCGTAGGGATTTTATGGTTCTAGCTTGTATTCAACATCATTACTTTTAGATTTGATGTCATTCAGTACTTTGATTACTTTGCAGCAAAATGTAAGCATTTAAGCGGTTTCACTGCCGTTGTATGTTCACCCACAGTGTACAGAAAATACAAAGTTCCTGGTGAGGGCTTCATATTTGGAAATCTACAATGAAGAGATCCGAGACCTTCTGGGCAAAGATACTAAACAGAAGCTGGAGGTAAAGTCAAAATTTACGTAAGCTTTATCTCAAGATAAGTTGACTTAAATTATTAGAAATCTTTTGTGACAAATGTCCATATTACACTTGTGTTTTTTTGAGTTGTAAGGATCTGACATGCTGGGTCAAAAATCTGGAGCTCCTTTATTTGCAGTGCTTCCGTGCTTCGAATATACCTACCCCAGATGTACAGCGGTAGTTCAAGGAGGCAGCCTACCACCATTTTCCCAAGGGCAATTAAGGATGAATAGCAAATGCTGGCCTTCTCACTGGTTATAAATCCTATGTACAAATGAAAAATGGTCAGAAATCACATGATTACAAGATGTAGAGCTGGATGAACACAGCAGGCCAATCAGCATCAGAGGAGCAGGAAAGCTGACGTTTCGTGCCTAGACCCTTCTTCAGAAATGAAGAAGAAGGGTCTGAAGAAGCGTCTAGGCCCGAAACGTCAGCTTTCCTGCTCCTCTGATGCTGCTTGGCCTGCTGTGTTCATTCAGCTCTGCACTTTGTTATCTCAGATTCTCCAGCATCTGCGGTTCCTACTATCCCTGAAACAATTTATAGACAGTCAGTCAATATGGTGTTTTATATATTCCTACTTTAGAAATAAAACCAGTCTGACTGCAAACTAAAACACAAACAGATTCTAAACAAGGTCTCACACCTAACATGCATTGTCTGACCTAAAATGTCACCTCTTCTTTACACTGATAAAACCTTTATTCTCTCAGGACTGTGACTTGAAAGGAATTTGGGGATTTACATGTACATATTAATCAATTAAAACCTTCTAACTGATTAAAGATTTAACAGCATCTTAGGTTTGTTTAGTACATCCTCATCTCTGGTGTGAATGTTTGATCTTTTACTTATAAATCCTGTGTCTAATGCTGCTTCTCTCACTAACACCCAAAGAAGGACTGAGGCTCCAAAAGCTTGTGTTTTTAAGTAAACCTGTTGGGCTATAACCTGGTGTTGTGTGATTTCTGACCTTGTCCACCCCAGTCCAACACTGGCACCTCCACATCATGGCTATCATCGACACCACCAACAGCCAGCTCAAAGTGGAGAGGATCTCCAAGAAGATCGCACATATCGACACAGACATCGAGTTTCTACAGAAATGCAAGAAAGCACAAAAGGTCCCAAAAGGACTACAGATCACGAACCCACTCAAGTCTACCTACAACACTGATTACACTGAGAGACTTTGCCGTCGCACCTCTCACAAACTCCTCAATCATCTCGTGCACCAACTCCACTGCAAGCGCTGTGACCTTGAAATCGAGATAAAAGTCCGTATTCTCAGCTTGTGCTCAAGATACAGCAGCACAGTTACGAGACACTGCCAAACAGACGAGGCAACAGAACTACATGACCCATGTGCACACCAAGAACAAGAAACTGGAGAAACTTGGCATCACCACCAGCAATAACCAAGTCTCCCCGGTACCACAATTGAAGGCATTACCACCACGGGAAAATCAATCGTCAACTTATCTGACCACACCTTTCAACCAGACAAGATCGAAGTTCTCAGCCGACGTCTCGAATTCTGCCCCACTACCAAGATGGACTCCATTGATCATGCAGCACACACAGAGGAATTCACTAGATGAATGAGACTCCGGGAAATCTTCCAAGATGTTAGCAGCGAGCCCAATGAGACAATCAACGAACTGGATCAGTTGACAGAGAGATCCATGGGGGAGTGGGCAAAGAAGAGTCGAATTGGACCCTGCCGGAGGGCCGTTGCCTAGGGTTTGACAGGTATGCTCAAGCCATCAGAGAACGCATGAACGCCAGACTTATCAGCCACACTTGCATGGTAGTGCAAAACGTCACCCAGGCACAGCGCAACACCATCCGTGCTCTCAAGACCAATTGCAACATTGTCATCAAACCAGTAGACAAAGGAGAAGCCATTGTCATACAGAATAAAACAGACCACTGCAAGGAAGTGTACTGACAGCTGAACAACCAGGAACACCACAGACGACTACCTGTCGATCCGACCAAAGAACACACCCATCAACTGAGCAGACCGGTCAAGATTTTTTTGACCCAGTCCTTCACAGTACCCTACGCACTCTCATCCTACGTACTTCCCACGTAGGGGATTTCTACTGCCTTCCAAAGATACAGAAAAGCAACACACCTGGATGTCCCATCATATCAGGCAATGGGACCCTGTGTGAGAACCTCTCTGGCTATGTCATGGGCATCTTAAAACCCATTGTACAAGGAACCCCAGCTTCTGTTGTGACATTGCAGATTTCTTACAGAAACTGAGCACTCATAGACCAGACGAACCAGAAACATTCCTCGTCACGATGGATGTTTCAGCACTCTGCACCAGCATCCCCCACGATGATGGTATCACTGCAACAGCCTCAGTACTCAATACAACCAAAAGCCAATTTCCAGATATCATCCTACAACTCATCCACTTCATCCTTGACCACAACATCTTCACTTTCGAGAACCGGTTCTTCATCGAGACACACGGAACAGCCATGGGGACCAAATTTGCACCCCAATACGCCAATGTTTTCATGCACAAGTTCAAACAAGACTTCTTTGTTGCACAGAACCTCCAACCAAAGCTATGCACTGGATACATTGACGACATTTTCTTCCTTTGGACTCATGGTGAGGAATCACTGATACAACTACATAGCGATATCAATAAATTTCATCCCAAAATCAGACTTACCATGGACTACTCTTTAGAATCAGTCTCATTCTTGGACACATGCATCTCCATCAGGGACGGACACCTCAGTACATCACTCTACCGCAAGCCTATGCATATCCTCATGATGCTGCATTTCTCTAGCTTCCACCTGAAACATATTAAAACAGCCAAGCCCTAAGGACAAGCCCTATGCAAACACAGAATCTTTGGGTGAGGAGGAACAAGACAGTCACTTGAAGGTGTTGAAGGATACCCTCATTGGAACAGGATACAATGCTCAACTCATCGATCGCCAGTTCCAGCGTGCCACAGTGAAAAACCGTAATGACCTCCTTAGAAGACAGACACGGATATGTCCAATAGTGCCCTTCATCGTTCAATACTTCCCGGGAGCGGAGAAACTACGCCATGTTCTTCACAGCCTTCAGCACATTATCGATGACAATGAGCACCTCGCCAAGATCTTCCCCACGCCTCCACTTCTCACCTTCAAACAGCCACCAAACCTTAAACAGACCATTGTTCGCAGCAAACTACCCAGCCTTCAGGACAACATTGACCACAACACTATACAAACCTGTCATGGTAACCTCTGCAAGATATGTCAGGTCTTCGACTTGGATATTACCATCACAAATGGGAACACACCCACCACGTGCACGGCAGATACTCATGTGACTTGGCCAATATTGACTATCTCATACGTTGCAGGCAAGGATGCCCCAAGGCATGGTACATTGGCGAGACCATGCATACGCTACGACAACAGATGAATGGACACAGCGCAACAATCGCCAGACAGGAATGTTCCCTCGTAGTGGAGGAATATTTCAGCGGTCAAGGACATTTGGCCTCGGATCTTTGGGTAAACGTCCTCCAAGACAGACTTTGGGATACACAACAATGCAGAGTCGCCAAGCAGAGGCTGATAGCCAAGTTCACTACCCATGAGGACAGCCTAAACCAGGATCTTGGGTTCATGTCGCACTACAGGTGATCCCACCACACTATACACTCTCACACATTCATTCATACACAAACATACTCTCTCTCCCACACACACACAGACACACACACACACACACACACACACAGACACACACACTCTCTCTCTCACACACACACACTCACACTCACTCTCTCTCTCTCTCTCTCTCTCTCTCTTCCCCTTTACACTGATAAAACCTTTAGTTCTAGTTCTCTCAGGATTATGATTTGAAAAGAATTTGGGGATTTACATATACATATTAATCAATTAAAACTTTCTAACTGATTAAAGATTTAACACTATCTTAGGTTTGTTTAGTACATCCTCATCTATGGTGTGAATGTTTGATCTTTTACTTATAAATTCTGTATCTGATACTAACCTCTCTCACTAACACCTGAAGAAGGACTGAAGCTCCGAAAGTGTGTGTATTCAAATAAATCTGCTGGATTATAACCTGGTATCGTGTGATTTCTGACCTTGTCCACCCCTGTCCCACACCGGCACCTCCACATCGAATGAAAAGTAATTGTGAAAAGTTCCAGTTCAAGAGGCTGTACAGTTATAGAATCATACAGCACAGAATCAGACCCTTCGGTCCAACCAGTCCGTCCCAAACATAATCCCAAACTAAATCAGTCCCACCTGCCCAATCCTGACCCATATCCCTCCAAACCTTCTATTCATGTATCTATCCAAACATCATTTAAACATTGTAATTGTACCTGCATTTCTTGGCTAGTCAGGCTTGCTAACTTAGATATCAAATATTGTAACAAAAACAAAAATGTGGAAGAAACTTCTCAAATAAAAATATTCTGGATGGTGATAATATCCTGCAACCCCTGTGATCTGTACAGTCATGGAACGCAAATCTCACTTTAGTTTCTTTCAAGTACCAAATGAATAGAAATAAGCAATGAAGCACTCTTTAAAGGAGAAAAGTCTCTCTTTATGTGTACTTAAAGTACTTAATTAATCAACACCCTTCAACTTTTTATCATTAGTTTTAGTATAATTACCACATCCTTAACAACTGTCACGTCTGAGGACCTCCTGTGATTCATTGAGAATATATGAAAAGACACCTGGAGCATTACCAAGAACTCCTAAATATGAATTGCCAACCTGGCGAAGCTGGAACACAGGACCAGGTGTATGTTAAACAGAGAAATAGCATGCTATAGAGCAATTCAAATAATGAGAGTTCAGAAGTCCTGAAACATACAGTACTGAATGATGGTGGACAATTAATCTAATAATGGAAAGAGAAAACTCCATGAGCATCTTCAACCTGAATGATGGGGAAGC